ATATATATAAAGAATCTGAAAGAAGTAAAGTTAATTTTTATTCAGTACAAGGACACTTGGAAAAAGCAATGTGAAGTAAAACAAAAAATTTAAAAACAGGAAAAAAACAAAAATCAATTAGCATAAAGAATAATTATCTGCTGAGAACTTGGAAGCTGCCAGGGGAGGAGAAACAAAAGTGATGGTCAAATAAATAAATAAATCATTTTTTATTTACATTATTAGTTTCCTGAACAGTGCAATCTAATTTTCAGATACTACCAAATCTTCTTTCTCTCAAATAACCTGGTCTATACTTGGGATTGGACCATATAGCGGAAAGGCTTCTTTTATTTATTTATTGATGAAGTTAAAGAGAAACAATTTTCCTACTATCACGCAAAACATTTATCTATCTCAATGCATTACAAAAGGCCTTATGTTCATTTTCACTATCCTTCTTAGAGAGTCAAGCACAGAAAGATTCGCTAAAAAAGGAGGTGACATCATGAAAAAATGCCCAAAGAATAATAAAAACAAAATTTTTATCGTCAAAATCTTTGTTATTATTAAGAGGAAAAAAAAATCAAAGGATTTTTTTTGATTTTTACAACAATGTTCACCCTGTATAAGACCCCAAACCATTCAAAGCAGTGACTGAATCACTATAATCTTAACTTGTTCAAATCTAGGGTTAACCATTACCATCCCCACATATTCCCATAAACTGAGCCTCTTACTCAGTAATTTGAGAAACATCCTCTTGGGAGTCAGTTCCATTTATTATGCAAATATTATTTATTTATCCTTTAAAGAACCGTGAAAATTTTGGTTAAAAATCTTGTTGTTTTGGCATCATTGTGGAACCTTAAATTTCTACCTGTTTTTTTACAGTGTAAAACATTGATTTAGAAATTCTTACAAAAATCAGATTAAACTTTCAAGACTTATTATGAAATAAATTATATTTTTATTTTCACATTTTTTTTGAGAAATTCTTTTTTGTACCACTTAATGTTTATATTTGTAATAAAGACAAATCCTTGGAGAATTTAAATCATCAAAAGTTTTTGGTCAAACAGGACTCCCAATTGTAGAAAATCTACCCTGAATGGTGAAAAAAAAAAAAGCAGCAGCAGTAAAACAAACATTTTTTTAATTAGAAAAGTTTTTAATTGCTTTTATAAATAAGACATTATAGACATGACTGTCTTAAGAAAAAAAAATTTTCTTTCATTAATAATGAATTTTTGCAAAAATTGTTTTCACTTTTTAAAATTTTAATTAGAATAATTTAGAACTCTTAAATCTTTTAAAATCCTGTATTAATTTGTAGTGGCCAAGTAATATTGTTATTAAGTTAAAACTGTATTTACTAATAATAAATGGACAAAACTAATTACAATTCAACAACCCCCCAGTATAGGCCTCCCTTGATTAGTGTGCTAAAATTTTAATATACCAAAATTCAATTAGTACATACATAATACTCGATTAGTGTGGTAAAACATTCAGTTTAAACATGGTAATTGAAAAATTGTCTTTTTTATAGTTACCAATGTACAAATTAGCTGCACTAATCAAAGGATTTCTGTATGCACAACATTATTAGACAATAAGAGATGTGCCTATAATAAATTAAAAATTCATTGATAATTTTCCTAAATTTTCTCAAGAAGCAGTTGCATGAGTACTTTACATTCAATTGATTAAAATAGTTTCTTAAATTTTTATGATTACTGGGTAGTAAAAGAAAATTATATAATTTTTTTCAACTGTCCCTCCTTTCCCAAAACATCAATAAATTACTCAACATGCCAGAAAACAATCTGTGTTAAAAAATGCTTTTCAGCAATATTTTAAACTAAAAGTAATATTTGTTTCAATTCAGATTAAACTTTAAATCAGTTAATTTTTCTCAAATAATGTTTCAGAAATGTATGTTTTATTTTTGAAATAGGTTTTTTTTAAAGAGAATCCTTTTGTGTTGACGGATCTGTCAAAATATGGATGAATTTATAGAATTTACTGATAAATAAAAGAAAAAAGTTTTCTATCAATTTAAATTTGATTTTAAAGTATTTAGTTTGTTGTGAATATTAAATTTAATACATTAGCTTGGATTTAAAACTAAAATTAGTTTCAAGCATGTTTTCTTTTATATTTTAATATTTTAGGGAAAATTGTGACAAAGTAGAAAAATATTCATGTAAAGTGGTTCATCTTTTAGGATTTCAGACTAAAGTGATGTTTACGTTAATCCAACTACAGGTGCACAAAGGAGAGAGACCGTTGTGAATTTAAAAATTAAAATTTTTAAAAAATATATGTTTTGGGTATATAGTCTAGCCAATTTTGCTTAGTCTGAAAAATTAGTTAGTCTCCAAAATAATCAATAATTATTAGCAGCCAACAAAGACTGATCATTCAGTCTTTACAAAGCCATTTGTCATTTTTATATTCCAGATAACCATTTCTTGATCAAATAAAGTTTATATCTTCTAATGATATCTAGAAAGAGTGTAACCAAAGTGATGTAAGATGTCTTACTTCTAAGCTAAAAGTAATGAGTTAGCGAAAATTGGTCCCTACTGAAAAATACTGAAAATAGAATATCTTATGTATGAAGGTTGATTGATAAATAACGTCTCCTAGTGTGTTGCATCACTAATAGTGGAAATAGATACATGTATTCAGTAGTATTATAAAGTACTGTTAAAATATGCTTAGTACTAGTTCCCTGTGTGACAGCATTGAGTATTAACATTCATTGATAATGAGTACTATTTCTAAGTTACATACAATGTAGTGGTCAAGAAGTCATTTGCACAGAATTTCAGCTAAAAAGAATGACAAATAATTTGGTGTGGTATTGTGAGACTTTGGAAGCATTCTACAGAATAAGGCCTGAAAGAACTTCTTTTTTTTGCATTGCAACTATGCAATGCCTTGTTACGGTCAATAAATGGTGCAAAGACCGAGAAGTCTAATAAAATTTACTGTTGTTGCTAATACCTCAGTACAGCCCCAATTTATCACAATCAAACTTCTGGTTATTCATAAAATTGAAAGAAACACTGAAAGGTCAACATTTTTCATCTGATACTGAAATTTAAGTTGGTGTGTGCAATTGAATGAAAAGTAAACTAGAAACTTTTCTTCATGGATGAAATGTTTGAAAAAATAAAAAATTAAAGTGTAATACTAAGTGGTAACTATGTTGAAAAATAAAATTGTAATCTTGATGAGAAATAAATTCATTTTGATATTAGTTTTATAGTTCTGTTTGGTTTTAAACAGGGTTTAAACTGGAGACCTTATTTATCAATCAACTCTCATAGAAACTCATAAGAATGCTGTTTTTCTTTTTTCCTTTTTAGAAATGTTTCTTAATTTATGGCCATGAGGAAAAGAAGTCCTATTTCTTGTATTTCTTTAAAGACAGTTTAATGAAACTTATTTTCCCTTGGCTGATATTTCAATGGATAAATGATTTGCTACACATTACACTGATGTCAGTAATCTTATATATTTTAATCTTGTCTCAAATACCAATATGTTATATGAGTTTTGTAACCCATCTGGGTTTAAGAGCACTACATAGCTGCAGTGGTGTATCTAGGGTAAGATAACCTGACGGAGCCTGTCCCTCTTTATGCTGATTTTGAATTCAGAGTTTTACTTCTAATTATCACCAGATCTTTCTTAGGCTGCAGCATTTGTCAGAATAAAAAAATATTGACCTTTTTATTGATTTAGAAGGGGGTTCTGTTCATAATATAAATCGATCCCTGACTTTTACAGAGTTATATGAAAACAAACTATTTTTTTTTTGTTGGCAGTACAAAAATATTTCTTTTAAATAAAGAACAAATGGATATATACATTTGTAATTAAAAACAAAAAATAAATAAAATAAAATTATGTATTCATTTATTCCTTAGTTAAGATAAATAATTATTCACCTCAAATGTTATTGCATGTGCTTCTGAAAAAAAAAAAAACATTAAAAAAGAATTAAAAAAAAAAAAAGTTAAAAGGTTAAAATTTCAGAAAATTAAGCAAAATATGCAGATATCAATGATGTTACCACACTTTCACACTTGACATTTGTAAATAATAGCTGGGTCCAATAGCTGTTAAAAGTCAGGAACCAATTTTATACTATTGATATTATAAACAAGAATCTGTATCTAAAAGGAATAAAAACAAAAAGATATTTTTTTGATTCTAACAAGTGTTGCAGCTTAAGGAAAGTTAAAAGAATGCTAATTACAAAATTTGTTTCCCAAAAAACGTTTTCTCTATTCTTTACGATTAGATCAAAGTAGTGCTGAATTGCATAACATTTCCAAAGGTGGAGTGAACAAGGCAGAATTGACAGAAAATTTAACTTAACACACCAATTTCACTTATCTCCCACTGATAACCATTAAACTATCCACACATTTATCCATACATGTATATAAAACTGGTTCTTAATGGGACAAATAACTATATCACTGAGAATCTTTCACCAATATAACTGACAACCAAAATAAATCTATGTTGAACCTAAGATGGTCAACAATTACATTTGTTTCACCTGTTTATATCAATAGAAGGACATGAATCTGTCTTTTCTGAAACTTTTACCCTAATACCTTATCTTTGAGTCATAATAAGCACTTTATTCTTAAAATATAATTTGTATCTTACATATTTGTAAAATAATTGTAGCTTAACCAAATTTTACTTTTTTTAATGCCCAGTATTGTAATGTCTCGATAAAAAGAGAATTGCTCTTCCTTGTAGAAATTTATAAAATCAGTAACAACTTTGATAAACAGAAAGCCTATAAAGTTAAAGACATGCTTATCTTTTATTTTTTCAGACAAAAAAAAAGTTTATTAAATATCACTTCCATAAGTCAGGAAAAGTAATAAAACTGAAGGAAATTGATATTTGCAACACTCTTATCAGTGAACTGGAATTAGTTGGTTGGCAGTAACAGAGGATCTCTGTCTTTTTAAATAAAATACCTAAAAATAAGTTTTGGGTAAGTTTGAAAATAAGAGAGAGAGAAGCAGATGAGTAAATTGTAGAGAGAGAGAGAGAGAAGTAGATGAGTAAACTGTGAAGAGTGGAAAAGAGAGAGCTAGATAAGTGTGCAGTGAGAGAGAGAGAGAGGACCAAATGAGTAAAGTGTGTAGAGAAACAGACAGAGAACCGGACGAGTAAAGTGGAGAGAGAGAAAGAGAAATGAACCAATATAGTGGAGAGAGAGAAAGAGAAATGAACCAATATAGTGGAGAGAGAGAAAGAGAAATGAACCAATATAGTGGAGAGAGAGAAAGAGAAATGAACCAATATAGTGGAGAGAGAGAAAGAGAAATGAACCAATATAGTGGAGAGAGAGAAAGAGAAATGAACCAATATAGTGAGAGAGAGAAAGAGAAATGAACCAATATAGTGGAGAGAGAGAAAGAGAAATGAACCAATATAGTGGAGAGAGAGAAAGAGAAATGAACCAATATAGTGGAGAGAGAAAGAGAAATGAACCAATATAGTGGAGAGAGAGAAAGAGAAATGAACCAATATAGTGGAGAGAGAGAAAGAGAAATGAACCAATATAGTGGAGAGAGAGAAAGAGAAATGAACCAATATAGTGGAGAGAGAAAGAGAAATGAACCAATATAGTGGAGAGAGAGAAAGAGAAATGAACCAATATAGTGGAGAGAGAGAAAGAGAAATGAACCAATATAGTGGGAGAGAGAAAGAGAAATGAACCAATATAGTGGAGAGAGAAAGAGAAATGAACGAATATAGTGGGAGAGAGAAAGAGAAATGAACCAATATAGTGGGGAGAGAGAAAGAGAAATGAACCAATATAGTGGGGAGAGAGAAAGAGAAATGAACCAATATAGTGGGGAGAGAGAAAGAGAAATGAACCAATATAGTGGGGAGAGAGAGAGAAATGAACCAATATAGTGGGGAGAGAGAGAGAAATGAACCAATATAGTGGGGAGAGAGAGAGAAATGAACCAATATAGTGGGGAGAGAGAGAAATGAACCAATATAGTGGGGGAGAGAAAGTGAAATGAACCAATATAGTGGGGGGGGAGAGAGAGAGAAAGAAAAGAAATGAACCAATATAGTGGGGTGAGAGAGAGAGAAAGTGAAATGAACCAATATAGTGGGGAGAGAGAGAGAAAGTGAAATGAACCAATATCGTGAGGGGAGAGAGAGTAAGTGAAATGAACCAATATAGTGGGGAGAGAGAGAGAGAGAAAGTGAAATGAACCAATATAGTGGGGAGAGAGAGAGAGAAAGTGAAATGAACCAATATAGTGGGGAGAGAGAGAGAAAGTGAAATGAACCAATATCGTGAGGAGAGAGAGAGTAAGTGAAATGAACGAATAAGGTGGGGAGAGAGAGAGTAAGTGAAATGAACGAATAAGGTGGGGAGAGAGAGAGTAAGTGAAATGAACGAATAAGGTGGGGGGAGAGAGAGAGAGAAATAGAAATGAACGAATAAGGTGGGGAGAGAGAGAGAGAAGTAGAAATGAGCTAATAAGGTGGGGAGAGAGAGAGAGAAGTAGAAATGAACGAATAAGGTGGGGAGAGAGAGAGAGAAATAGAAATGAACGAATAAGGTGGGGAGAGAGAGAGAGAAATAGAAATGAACGAATAAGGTGGGGAGAGAGAGAGAGAAATAGAAATGAACGAATAAGGTGGGGAGAGAGAGAGAAATAGAAATGAACGAATAAGGTGGGGAGAGAGAGAGAGAAATAGAAATGAACTTAATAAGGTGGGGGAGAGAGAGAGAAATAGAAATGAACGGTGGGGGGGAGAGAGAGAGAAATAGAAATGAACGAATAAGGTGGGGAGAGAGAGAGAAATAGAAATGAGCTTAATAAGGTGGGGGAGAGAGAAATAGAAATGAGCGAATAAGGTGGGGAGAGAGAGAGAGAAATAGAAATGAACGAATAAGGTGGGGAGAGAGAAAGAGAAATGAACAAATAAGGTGGGGAGAGAGAAAGAGAAATGAACAAATAAGGTGGGGAGAGAGAATGAGAAATGAACAAATAAGGTGGGGAGAGAGAAAGAGAAATGAACAAATAAGGTGGGGAGAGAGAAAGAGAAATGAACAAATAAGGTGGGGAGAGAGAATGAGAAATGAACAAATAAGGTGGGGAGAGAGAAAGAGAAATGAACAAATAAGGTGGGGAGAGAGAAAGAGAAATGAACAAATAAGGTGGGGAGAGAGAATGAGAAATGAACAAATAAGGTGGGGAGAGAGAAAGAGAACTGGATGAGTAAAGCGGAGAGAGATAGAGAGAGAATTGGATGAATAAAGTGAGGGGAAAGAGTAAAACGTGAATGAGTAAAGTGGGAGGAAGGGAGGACTCAATGAGTAAGGTAGTGAGAAAGAGAAAGAGAACCAGATGACTAAAATGGTGAAAGATCAACTGGTCAAGAGAATGCAGACAGTGTCTAATATTATTGTATCTTATTAATACTTGCAACTCAATGTAATCATTTGTCTGTATATATTACTCAAAGAAAGAGTGATAACTTGTCACTTTCAAATAATACACATTATCTCTATGTATATTATTTACAGACTATTATCCTCATCTCTATTATCACATTCCAGCCACTGCGCTCTCCTACCGTCATCAAGTGTATACCAATCCTGGTTGTGGATAACAGCAACAAAGATGAGGACAACAGTCTGCATGTAAATAATGATAATGCTCCATTCCAGAAAATAAGACAGAAATATTGTTCTTTAACACTGTCTTAAAACAATCATAATAATTCATTATAAGACACAGTGCTATGGTATTTAGGTAACATTTAAGTTTCTTAAAATTATCCAGGGCTTTAGTAATAATTCATTCTTCAAATCAATGTTTAAAGTCTCATTATAGTTTGTAAAAGTATGAGGGGAATGGGAGGGGGGTTGCAATGGCTAACAGTTTTTGTCACAAAAAATGGAATTGACAGGCAGAGTTTGAATTCCAGCTTATTCCCTTTCATGCAAATACACTTGGAAAATGCATGAATCTATTTCTTCCATTCCCAGCTTTAAGTAAAGCAGATGGAGTTCTCTAGCCTTGGCAGAGCAACCATTCTGGAAGGGAGAAAACTTTGAAATCAGAACTGTAGAGTAAGCAATAAGGAAACCATTCCCACTAATGTGCTGAAGAACAGTCATGTCTGTCCACAGATATTAAAGAAAAGGTATCGTACAAAACAAAGCAGCAAAAACATTACTCTGTGTACATTTAAATGGTTATTTATCAATTATTTTTAAGTAAATGTTAATCTTAAACACAATTTTAAGAAATTGAAAATACGTCTATTTTTTTTGATTCTACATAACTAAATTACATAGTTGGAAATAATCCAAATTAGTTTTTGTTAAACTTATGCCTGTAACAAATAAATGTCTGAAAGAGGAAAAGTCTTTATAGCTGTTCAAGTATTAAGTGAAAGTTTGCAAATTTGATCTTGTTTGAAAATATATCACATATACACTGATAGAAAACAATGTTGCAGCACCCTGATGGCCTATTTTGACCTGGGTACAGTATATGGGAAGGTAGATATTCTTCAGCCTTCTTGTGATATAGTAACACTCATACCAGTGCACCATCTGTGTTTGAACTTTAGGTGGTGATGAATGCTGCAATAATTTAAGAGGAGAAAGTTAAGGTTTAAAATCATAACCCAATATTTATAATAGTAATACTGCATTTACCAAAATCTGTCAATGACTATAAATTCTGTCATGTTATATTTTCACCCACTTTATAATGTTTATTTTTTTAAAAAAATCATTTACCTCAAGCAAAATGATAAAACAAAGATGCATGGGGTTACTCACAGTGAAAGAAACTGAGAAAATATTATTGAGGGGAGAGGATAAGAAAAAAACAGGAGACAGAAGATGACAATTGATAATGTCTCTGTCTGTAAACTAGTATACCAAGAGTAATGCTTATATTGTCATAAAAAATGGGGGGGACAAGGGGGATCTGAATTTAGCAAACTTCATGACATCAGAAATATTTTGGAAGAATGAATTAATATCCTACTCAAAAAAAAAAAAGAAAAGAAAAATAAAGAAAAATTGCAGTATTTTATGATAAAATAATATTTAGAAGTACTGAAAAGTTCTTGACAAAAACCAACTTCCAGATTTTGTTTGGTGGGAGAGAAGGGTTTCTTGGTTGGGCTGAGAACATTTCAGCACTCTCTCATATCTCAAATATAACCTACGTTACAAGTTATAATCAATGTTTGATTGTATTCAAAAGGCTTGAACCAGATTTGGTACAATTTCCAAATTAGACTTTACTCAATTCTTTAATGGCAAACCAAAAAGGCTAGCTGTTTACTACCAACAGAAGAAACCAAAAGTATTTCTTGAAAATGTTATACTGTATTAAATTACAAGCAGTTAAAGTATGACAAGAGATTCCTTGTTTTAATTACAGAATATCATTTTCTTAAAAATGTATATTCCATCAACAAAATTAATTTTAAATCCTATATGTTAAAATCATTACTTGCAACATTGTTATTAAATACATTACTTGTCTCATTTTTCTTTGGAGTAAATTAGTTTTACCATTAAGCTATATGACCCTGAATATGCCAAAATAAAGAGGAAATGTTTCTTAAGAGTTGAACAAGCAATAGAATGATGCAAAGTAATTCAATATTTAACTCTCACAGAACCAAAGCTGACTTTTCTAACATTCCTTCTTTCAGTCAACAATAAATTATTTTAGTTAGTATAAAATACATTTAAAACTTGATTATTCTAGCAGACGCACTGAGTACATGTACATATATGCATAATAATAATAATAATGGCTAATCATTTCCCAGTACAACTTTTGCTAGGATGGCTAGCTAATCCCTGTTACAGACACTGGCTCCAGCACATTTGTGCTTCTTCAAAATCCAAAAAGTCAATCTATAATTTATACTACAGATCTTAGATTTTCTGGAAATGGGCGCATAATCTGGTGTGCAGGGCTGGTGCAAGAATCTTATGTCCCCCAACCTGGAGTCAATAATACAGCCCCTCTCTCTGAATCTATGATATGAGCCTTCTACCACTCTACTACATCTCAATTTTCATAAGGTAGTATTCATATAAAATATGAATTTTATTGTAATCTAATTACATTTAATGATGGGTCATATGCAATATACAGTAGCAGCCATAATATAAGGAACGGAAACAACAAAGATATAAATATGTGTATTACTTAAAAAGTAATGCATGATTAGCAATGAAAGTTTTACCAAATAAAGATTAGGGTGTAATGCATAAATATTATACAAAGTTACAAAAATTTACATAATAGTTTTTTTAAAAATAAAGATTAAATGGAACATGTCTTTGTTGTTTCCGTTCCTTATATTATGGCCGCTACTGTAGTTGAACAATTGAACTAGAAAAATTGAAAATGTATTTAAATACAAATTAGAGATATGTCTTAATAGATTATTTCATCTTAAATAAATAATATCTTGCAGCAATTTTTAACATCAACTTGAGATTTTTCTTGTTAAAAAGTGGAATAATTTTAACACATTCAACATTATGGATAAAAAAAACCCAGTGAATTTTATATAGTGTTTTCAAGACTTAGCATGAGCAAAACAAATTCATTGATTTGGATGTTAAAAAAAAAAAAAAAAAAAAAAAAAATGAAATGTATTTTTCAATAAATTTGATCTTATATTCATGTACATTTGATGTAGGAATATTTTTTTAATGAATAATCAAATTGTATAGGCTCCATATGTTTGGGAAATATAAAATATATATATATATATATATATATATATATATATATATAGAGAGAGAGAGAGATATGCAGGCATACAAATAATGATACATAATAAATGATGTCAAAATATGCAAAAAATTTTTATTCTTTAATAATCAGTTTTGCTTAGTTGTAACATATAAAAATATACTTAGAAAAATGCAAATGTTTTAGCGAGGGTCACAAAGCACTACCCAGAGCCACAAATCAGGCTTGAAATTGGGGACATGGGGTATGCACTGGCCCTGCTGGTGTGCTTACCATTTTGATGAAAGCCATTATGCTCAAACACTCAGTCACTATAACTTGTGACTTTGTACTAGCACAATCATCGACAACTTCAAAACAGTTCTGTTCGAGTCAACATATACATTGGTTCTCAGGTACATTCCAATGGTAGCTCTTACTGAGATTGTTTTCACAAGCTGATATCAACAAGATTTGAACTCTGGTCTCTTAGTCAGAATGCAAAGGTTCTAGCCATATACCTTGTCAAGATCTCTCATTATATATATATATTCATAAAAAGAGAGAAGCCTTAAACATTTTTGGTTATAATGTGGATTTGTTTTAGTGTATATATTATATTTTATTCTTTGTATTTTTGCTAAATTTGTTTCCGGTCTCATGACCTTCTTCAGGCAAATTAAAAGAATCAATTTTTAAAGGAATAAAATTTCCTTATGTTCTTTTAATGTTTCATTGTTCATTTTCTGTATTTGTAGAGTGTGTTGATCTCATTTTTTCAACTGTTGGCAGAAGTGAATTTCTGCCTAAGTGGTAATAAAATCAAAATAGGTTTGGCCTTAGTGGTGGTGATGATAGATGTGTTGATGATAGATGCACCCATATCCCTGCATCACCCCTAAGACTGTCAAATCTCTTTCAATTTTTGTGTATTGTGTGTGCGTGCGTGTCCCGCTAGCTTGCACATGAATCAGCATACACACACAAACATTCTTCCTGTGTTGTATAGGGCTCATGTGTGTTCCCATGAGTTGTCTGTTTATGACAGTGTATGTATATATATTTTTGTTCCCCATGAGTACTTGTTTGTGCATGCGTACGTGTATGTATGTGTGGGGTCGTCTGATCAGTGTATCCGGTCATCGTGTGTGCATGTCATGTGTCAATGTGTGTGGGGTTATGTTCTGTTTAGTGCTGGTTTAAATTTATCTATGAAGATTTTTCTTGTCTTTTTGGTATATTGGCATAATTTTAAATTTGCCTTGATTGCATTCATAGATGTGTTGCAGTACAAAGTGTTTTCTGTTGTTGAGTAATTTGATGTTACTTTTGTGAAAGCCAACTCTGTTAAGTGCTTGGCTGATGTCTATATATGACTTCTTGCATTTTGTGTGTAGATCACATTTTTGGAGTTGCAGTTTAAATTTTATTTATTGTGAATGTAGTTGTGGGGTTTTCAAAAGTGTAGGAGTTCCCTTCAATAATGACATCACAAACACCTTTTTTTGTTGCATTTTGTGACCCCCTGTTATATTGTGTTGGTTAAATTTGGATGAGGGTAATATGTTTCAGGTTTTTAGATT